GCCTGATTTGTCATACCATGAATCTGGTTTTCATGTAGAATGATTTTTTTTTTAATCTGCAATTAGAGGAGATCAAAAGTCTCTTTCAGGAATTGAGATTTCTGCCAACTAACCCTTTGGGTTACATTCCCCACCCAACCATTTATCTAGTAACCACCAGGTGGAGAATTTAAAAAAAAAAGAAGGCATGTATAACATGAATGTCTGACTTTGCTGTCACAGCCACAAGGCTAGCTGCCATTCATGTTCTGGTTTGTCTGAGTGCACACCCTCAAGTCGCAGGTGTTGTGCAGTTACCTCTCTTAGCTTGAAATTTTGCAAATTTCTCACACTGTTACAAGGTCCTAGGCTTCAGGTAGCCACCGTGTTTACTCCACTGGTCTGAAAGTGTTCCGCACCTTTGGGAGGCTGCGACCAGTGGCATATAATTACCAAACAGCATTCTTAAAACCAATGTACTGATCACTTAGCAGATGGAACAAAATGTTTAGAGAAAAAGGATTTTAAGCCAACAAACAGCCTGCATGCATGTCAGTCATAAAATAAATAAATTAATGGAGACATCCTATCTCCAAGAACCAGAAAGGACCTTGAAAGATCATTGAGTCCAGCCCCCTGCCTTCACTAGCAGGACCAAGTACTGATTTTGCCCCAGATCCCGAAGTGGTCCCTTCAAGGATTGAACTTACAACCCTCGGTTTAGGAGGCCAATGCTCAAACCACTGAGCTATCCCTCCTCCTATCAAAAGCAGCATGGTTTCATGGAAGGTAGGTCTTGTCAAACAAACCTGTCACCTTTTTCAACAGGATTGCAGGTCTGATCGATAAAGGTAGCTGTGCTGATATTGTTTATTTGGATTTCTCCAAGACATTTGACCTAGTACCACATGACATTTTGATTAAAGAACTAGCATTATAGGGAACCAACAGGACACATATCAGATGGATTAAAAACAGATTCACTGACAGATCTCAGAAAGTAGTTGTTACTGGGGAGATATCAATGAACAGAGCTTTTTCCAATGGGGTCCCCCAAGGAATGGTTCTTGGTTCAATGGTATTCAATATTTGTATCCACCCAATTGATGGTGATATAAAATCTTGGCTGGGAGGCTTGCAAAAGACACAAAGATCACTGGGGTAATAAGTGGACTGCTTTGCCTGGTTAAAAAATCACAATCCAACAAAAGATGTTCTAATACATCCAAATGCCAGGTCATACATTTATGAAGCAAGAATGCAGGCTATACCTAGGGATGGGAGACAGTCTTTGAAAGCAGTGAATCAGAGAAGGACTCATTATTATTGTAGATAAATCACCTCAACATGAGCTCTCATGGTGATGCAGGAGCAAAAAGGGCTAATGTGACCCTGGGATATATACAGGGCCAGCTCTAGTTTTTTTGCTGCCCCAAGCAAAAAAAAAATTTGGCTGCCCCCCCACCCCAGCCCTGGGCTCTTCCCCCTCCCCACCCCCTGATGTCTCAGCCCTGGGCTCTCTCTTCCCCCCCCACCCGCACCCCCTGCTGCCTCAGCCCTGAGCTCCCCCCCCAAACATGACCTCCTTGTTCACCACAGCAATCCCCATTTACACTTGCAGTCGGGATCAAACCGTTTTTCCTATTTTTATTTAACTTTAGTATAAATCTTGCCCCTGCAACCTTATCTTTAGTGCTCCAAATGCACATGGAAGACATAGGGACTAACCCTCAAACCTTGTACCCAGAAAGGGATGGGGAGCTAGTAAAGAGGGTTCAGGCAGAAGAGCGGGTGTAGAGGTACAGGGGAAGGGAGGAGGTGTGGGAGGAGAGGGCTGGGGGAGGGTACAAGGGGAGAGATGCGGGTGAAGGGAGAGTACAAGGGGAAGGGGTGCAGCGAAGGAGCGATGGGGGAGGTACAAGTGGAGGGGCTGCGAACGGGATGGGGGTGCAAGGGTTGAGAGGGGCAGGTGCTTACAGCTGCTTCCCCAGACCCATGCAGGCAGAGCTGAGAGGACGGAGACTGACCCCCAGGTGCCTGAGCCGCGGGGGTTCCCCGGCAGGGCAGTATCCCCCGCTGCCCTGCTTGGAGCCGGGCTCTGCGTCTCCCCACCCAGGGCAGGCAGCGCGGGGCTGAGGCAGGGGAGGTGTGCGGCGGGCTGGGTCTGGGGCAGGAGGGGGCGGCGGCAGCTCCTTGGCAGCTCGGGCTGCCCAGCCACTCGCCCTCTCAGCACGTGAGCCGGGATCCACGCTCCCTGCCTAGCCCGGCGGCGCCCTGCACAGCCCCACTCGGGTGGGGAAACGCCGCACCACCCTGGGGAGACTCAGAGCAGCAGCGGCAGCAGGACCCCTCCCCCCTCCCTGCATCCCAGGCCCCACTTCCCTCCCTCCCTGGCTCCTCACACCCAGGCTGGGCTGCAGTTCAGGCTGCCCGGCCCCTGGAGAGCCAGAGCATCATCCCCCGGAGCTGAGCCCCTCTCGCCTCCGCAGCCCGGGCTCAGCTCCAGGGGATGATGCTCCGGCTCTCCAGTGGCCGGGCAGCCAGAACTGCAGTCCAGCCTGTGCGACTCAGGATGCCATGAATGCCATCTAGCAACTGCAGCCAGAACTGCAGCATCACTTCCAGCTCAGCCTGAAAGCCTCAGCTGACAGGGAACATCTTGGTTCAGGGCTGGCTCCCGGCTTTTTGCACCCCAAGGGGAAAAAAAGGGGGGGCTGGAGTGCCGCCCCTTGGAAAGTTCTGCCCCAAGCACATGCTTGGACCGCTGGTGCCTAGAGCCAGCCCTGGATATATAAACAGGAGAATGTTAAGTAGAAGTAGGGAAGGGATCTTGCCTCTATACTAAGATTGGCTGGGACCATGGGTTTTTTCTGCCTTCCTCTGCATAGGCTGGGCTGAGTATATCTCATCTAAACAATTCCCTGCAGTCACAGGGGCCTCAGGCATTGGTAGCACCTTGGTCCCCCCTGTTCTCTGCCTGTGGCACACAATGGTTTAGTCTCCTGAAGGCTGAAATACTTTGGATTCAATGAGAGGTAGCTGGGTGAAATGTGGTGGCCTGTGATATACAAGAGATCAGACTAAATGACCTGATGGTCCCTTCTGGCCTTAAACTGTCTCTCTCCCTTCAAGCCATACCTTGCCATGATGACAACCTAG